GGGGCGGATCCAGGTTTGAATCCGACCTGTGGTCCTTTGCTGTCCCCCTCTCTCATATCCACTTTCCTGTGACTACTGTAAAAAAAAGAGCCAATAGTGCCGTAAAAACTCAACAAAAAAAGAGAACCATGAGCCTGTGGGCCGGTAAGGCAGACGGGGGGAAGCGGTCACTCTGTCCGCTGGGGGTCGAGGGAGTACCAATATGGCGGCCAGTGGGTTCACTTCAACCCTGTTCTACCAACGGCCAATCAGAATCCAGGGAATAAATAGAGATCCGTGGATTTTCTGTCAGTGTGACGAAGACGCAGCAAACAAGCGGAACTTACATTTTGCGGAACGTGTTTCCTCCTCCATCAGGACGCTGTTACACCTGCTGCCGAATTCCAGCGAGCCTGCAACTGATGCAGACTCACTATTTAAGGGCTGAACGTTCCACTTGCCCTACCCACTATGTGGTTTGGGATGGTACTTAATATGGCGGACCCTTCTTGGGAATCCGCGAAGGGAGCATGCATGCTCCCACGCTCTTTCTACCATAATCACAGTTTACATTTCCCTCTCATTCATAAAGCGATGAAATGAAAAATCACCGTAGATTAGTTCTCAGGGGCTGTGGTAGATTCCAGAGGCTACATCCTCCAAGAACCGGGTCTACGTGGACTGGATCCTCCAAAAACCCAGCCTACCTGGATTCAGTCATTGGTAGGTCTGTGAAAAAAAAATAGAGACCGGAATAGTTTTGGCTGTGGGTTCAAACAGGTCCAGCCTTCTGCAGCTTTCATCGCCCTTAAGCCATGTTGCCTAGCAACCGTGAGAGTTGTCACATAAAGCAGCAAAGAATGGATGCCTTCTCACTACTGTTTTTTCATATTTATTTTTCAATTGTGAAGTGAACAAAGACTACAGTGATGAGAATCCAGAGTGGAATAAAGGAGCCAACCACCGGGAGCAGGAACTAATAAAAGCTAATGGAATCATATAAACGGGATAGAAACCTAGAAGTCAATCTTAACAATGTAATTATTTTTTCCTAACAGCTGATTTAGGAGGGAGTGTATTATTTTCTGGGATCCAGATCAATCCTGAAAGCAGACCTGTCCCTGAAAAAAAGGATGTGTAAAAAGTTAAATCAGATGCTCCAACAGGCAGCGCTTTAAGGAAGTCTGAGGGTAAAACAGCAGGAGGCGCTCAGCTGCTGGAAGATTTCTTCTTAGTTTTTGTGGTTTAGCAGATTTTATCTTCGTTTATAATAAATGAGTCTCAGATTTTCAAAAAAGTTTCTACATGTGCCTTGATAAAAGATATTCAGACCATCAACCTCCATCAACCTCCATCAACCTTCATTCATCTTCATTCACCTCCATCGTCACCCGTCACGCCTCATGTCTTCTTTTTTTTTTACAGTGTCCTGTCTGGCGATGTGGCAATATATAAGTAGTATTATTTTATCTGACATGGACTCTGTGTTACCTGAAGATAAGAATGTGGACTTTCTGATTGGAAGTGAATCTCTGAGTACCTGGAACCTAGCACCTGTAGTTGATTGTGAGGGTGAACTTGTGCATGTAAAGTTTATCCAAAGTAAAAATGCTCAATAGTGGTTGTGGAGAGCCGAAGAGGCCGAAGAGGCGCCCCCCCAGAGCACTGAGTTCAGCGCTGGGAGACCCAAAGCCCCAGATGCCCAAAGGGACCCCAAGAGCGAAGGCACCAAGGCGGGGCCAGCCCAGGAAATCAGACCCCCACCAAGGGAGGAGGAGAGGAAGCCCCTAGGAAGTCCCCCAGCCACCGCCATGCCAGAGCCCCCAGGAGCCGAGGAGACAAGTCCGCGGGCTCCGCCGGCAGCTAGCCACCCCGAAGTGAATCTGGGGGGGCCCTTCCCCCAACAGGAGACCCAGCCGAGCCCCGGCTACCCGGGCCCCACGGAGAGGCTGCAAGGAATGAGCCAGTAGCCACCCGGGCATCCACCCCCAAACCCCGAGCTCTACCAGTGCACCGGCGACCCCCAACGCCAGCCAGCGGAGGGAGAGCAGGAGGGGGGAATGGGCTCCGCACTTAGCTGAGACTGAGGTGTGTTTGGTAGAAGGAGCAGTTCAGACCCCAACCTGGGAGAGAGAGAAGAAAAAGAACTCACAGGCTCAATCTCACCTTCCCACCCTAGTGCCCCCACTCAGTGCCCCCACTCACACCACAGAAGAAAAAAAAATGAGTAAACGCGGACACACAGACCCGGCGGCACCGGTGGTTGGTCCCGGGATTATCAGATGACCCAATAAGTGAACCTAAAATACCGGTGGGGGGAGGGGAGCGGCGACACCCCCACACCAACCCATCTCCTTCCTGCTTCGAGCC